TCCTTCATCACTTTAAATATGTCCTGCCAGTCCCTTCTGGCTTGTAGAGTTTCTGCTGGGGATTCCCTTGTGTGTTATTTGTTGTTTTTCCCTTGCTGCTTTTAATATGTTTTCTTTGTATTTAATTTTTGACAGTTTGATTAATATGTGTCTTGGCGTATTTGTCCTTGGATTTATCCTGTGTGGGACTCTCTGTGCTTCCCGGACTTGATTATTTCCTTTCCCATATTAGCGAAGTTTTCAACTATAATCTCTAAAAATATTTTCTCAGTCCCTTTCTTTTTCTCTTCTTCTTCTGGAACCCCTATAATTCGAATGTTGGTGTGTTTAATGTTGTCCCAGAGATCTCTGAGACTGTCCTCAGTTCTTTTCATTCTTTTCTCTTTATTCTGCTCTGCAGTAGTTATTTCCACTATTTTATCTTGCAGGTCACTTATCCGTTCTTCTGCCTCAATTATTCTGCTATTGATCCCATCTAGAGTATTTTTAATTTCATTTATTGTGTTGTTCATCATTGTTTGTTTCATCTTTAGTTCTTCTAGGTCCTTGTTAAATGTTTCTTGCATTTTGTCTATTCTGTTTCCAAGATTTTGGATCATCTTTACTATCATTATTCTGAATTCTTTTTCAGGTAGACTGCCTATTTCCTCTTCATTTGTTAGGTCTGGTGGGTTTTAATCTTTCTCCTTCATCTGCTGTGTGTTTTTCTGTCTTCTCATTTTGCTTATCTTACTGTATTTGGGTCTCCTTTTTGCAGGCTGCAGGTTCGTAGTTCCCGTTGTTTTTGGTGTCTGTCCCCAGTGGCTAAGGTTGGTTCAGTGGGTTGTGTAGGCTTCCTGGTGGAGGGGACTAGTGCCTGTGTTCTGGTGGATGAGGCTGGATCTTGTCTTTCTGGTGGGCAGGTCCACGTCTGGTGGTGTGTTTTGGGGTGTCTGTGGACTTATTATGATTGTAGGCAGCCTCTCTGCTAATGGGTGGGTTTGTGTTCCTGTCTTGCTAGTTGTTTGGCATAGGGTGTCCAGCACTGTAGCTTGCTGGTCGTTGAGTGAAGCTGGGTGCTGGTGTTGAGGTGGAAATCTCTGGGAGATTTTCGCCATTTGATATTATGTGGAGCTGGGAGGTCTCTTGTGGACCAGTGTCCTGAAGTTGGCTCTCCCACCTCAGAGGCACAGCACTTACTCCTGGCTGCAGCACCAAGAGCCTTTCATCCACACGGCTCAGAATAAAAGGGAGAAAAAGTAGAAAGAAAGAATTAGTAGAAGTAGAAAGAAAGAGAAAGAAAGAAAGGAAGGAGGGAGGGAGGGAAGGAAAAAAGAAAGAAGATAAAGTAAAATAAAATATAATAAAGTTATTAAAATAAAAAATAATTATTAAGCAAAAATTTTAAAAACGGACGGATAGAACCCTAGGACAAATGGTGGAAGCAAAGCTATACAGACAAGATCTCACACTGAAGCATACACATACACACTCACAAAAAGAGGAAAAGGGGAAAAAAATCATAAGTCTTGCTCTCAAAGTCCACCTCCTCAATTTGGGATGATTTGTTGTCTATTCATGTATTCCACAGATGCAGGGTACATCAAGTTGATTGTGGAGCTTTAATCCGCTGCTTCTGAGGCTGCTGGGAGAGATTTCGCTTTCTCATCTCTGTTCTCACAGCTCCCAGGGGCTCAGGTTTGGATTTGGCCCCGCCTCTGCGTGTAGGTCGCCGGAGGGCGTCTGTTCTTCACTCAGACAGGATGGGGTTAAAGGAGCAGCTGCTTCGGGGACTCTGGCTCACTCAGGCCGGGGGGCGGGGAGGGGGGGAGGGAGGGGCACGGAGTGCGAGGCGAGCCTGCGGCGGCAGAGGCCACCGTGACGTTGCACCAGCCTGAGGCGCGCCGTGCGTTCTCCCGGGGAAGTTGTCCCTGGATCCCGGGACCCTGGCAGTGGCAGGCTGCACAGGCTCCCTGGAAGGGGGGTGTGGATAGTGACCTGTGCTCGCATACAGGCTTGTTGGTGGCGGCAGCAGCAGCCTTAGCGTCTCATGCCCGTCTCTGGGGTCCGCGCTTTTAGCCGCGGTTTGCGCCCTTCTCTGGAGCTCCTTTAAGCAGTGCTCTTAATCCCCTCTCCTCGTGCACCAGAAAACAAAGAGGGAAGAAAAAGTCTCTTGCCTTTTCGGCAGGTTCAGACTTTTTCCCGGACTCCCTCCCGGCTAGCCGTGGTGCACTAACCCCCTGCAGGCTGTGTTCACACCGCCAACCCCAGTCCTCCCCCTGCGCTGCGACCGAAGCCCAAGCCTCAGCTCCCAGCCCCGCCGCCCCGGCGGGTGAGCAGACAAGCCTCTCGGGCTGGTGAGTGCCGGTCGGCACTGATCCTCCGTGCGGAAATCTCTCCGCTTTGCCTTCCGCACCCCTGTTGCTGTGCTCTCCTCCGCGGCCCTGATGCTTTCCCCCTCCGCTACCCACAGTCTCCGCCCGCGAAGGGGCTTCCTAGTGTGTGGAAACCTTTCCTCCTGCACAGCTCCCTCCCACTGGTCCAGGTCCCGTCCCTATCCTTTTGTCTCTGTTTATTCTTTTTTCTTTTGCCGTACCCAGGTACGTGGGGAATTTCTTGCCTTTTGGGAGGTCTGAGGTCTTCTGCCAGAGTTCAGTAGGTGCTCTGTAGGAGTTGTTGCACGTATAGATGTATTTCTGGTGTATCTGTGGGGAGGAAGGTGATCTCCGCGTCTTACTCTTCCGCCATCTTCCCTTCGTCTCCTTGTTTTTCATTTAAATTTACAAGTAAGGAATATGTTCACCTTAAGTTTCTTGACATATAACACTATCATTAGATATTTTAAATTAAGTTGTTAAATTTGTTTAATTGTTCATTTGATAGGCAAAAACTGGCTATCTTATTTCAATTTTTTGTGTCCTTGAATACCAATGAGTGAGTTTTTTGGGGGTTTAGTTAACTATAGTTCCTCTTTTGTGGCTTTCTGGTTTCTTAATCCACTTATCTACTAACATCTTAGTAGTTTTCTTACTGATTTGTAGGAGTTCCTTAAATGAGCTCTGTTTTCTTTAGTTTCCTAGTTTGTAGTTAATTTTTTAAAAACATACATAAACCTAAATTATTTTGTGTATGTAATTCCATCTGGCTTTTGATAGGTTATCATTTTTAAGTTTAAAAATTCTTCTCTCCTTTCAGAGATCCAATAACTTTTCCTTTTGTTGTTTTTTTTGTTGTTGATTATAACTCTTTATCCCATCTAGAATAAAGCAGTTTTCAAGCTTCTTTTTTGTAATTTCTGTAGGCTAATGGTTCTTGATTCATTGTGAGGTTTAAGGATGATAAAAGTTGACAGAAACTTTAGGGACAAAATATATTTTAGCAGTGAAAAAAATGATAAGCTCTTATCTGACAAATGTAAACTTTCTCATCAGAGTTAAACGTTTAGACAACATTTCTGATTAGCCTTCTGTTAGTACAGCAAAAGCATTTGTATTTGCTGGAAATAACATTTATTTATGAAGAAATTATGGCAGAAATCTGTTTAAACAGTGAGAAAATTCTAGACTGTTCAGACAGCCCAGGATTTTGAAAAAGTCTTGTGCTTTGGCAGGAACCCAGGAGAGGAAGTGTCTGCATCTGCTGCATGCTAGAAGCCTTCCCAAAGAGTTACTGTAAAGCAGCCAAGAGAACAGTGTATTTCACTACTGTGTGGTTCTGGAAGTAACTGGAAGTTTGCAGACTTGAGGGAGGAGACTTAGGAGTACTTCCAGGAGGTCAGTGTCAGTTTCTGTGGTGACCTATTTTTAGTGATTCAAGTTAAGGGAAAGTGTTTTGTGTGTGTATGTGTGTAATAGGGAGTTTTCCAATGTGGACTTGAACCTGTTGCTTTAGGAGAAGTCACTTGGGAAGAGTCAGAGGTGCCTGTACAAAAGAGGAATAGGGTGACAAGTCAGAATAACCAATGGGTGTCTGTTATTGGGGCAAATGGTACTGCAGTTGTAATTTATTTTCCTGTAAGGTAATAAAGGAGAAGGACTTAAAGTCCATGTATGTTGTGGAGAAGGAGCAAGAGAAGAGTGCTAACAGGGCCTTTGGGAAAGCAGGGTAAAAAACTTTCTACTGGTTAGTTGATAATCTGCATCTGCCATGAAGAATCCATTCCAGAAAAGACAGCCCTACGGGGGACAAAGCAAAAAAGACAGAAGGGCTTTGCTGCCAGGTTTTAGAAAAAAATGCCACAACTTTGTACTGGGCTAAGGATTTTTTACATAGAACACAGTAGATAAGAGAAAAAGCTCAGCATTGGGCCCTTTGAGAGAAATTGCTAGCTTAAATCGACAGGGTTGGTTGGTATTTTTTTTTTAATTCTGTACAACTTTTAAAAAATAAAACAGCTTTATTGAGATATAATTCATATACCACACTATTCACCCATGTTCGTGCTTGTGTACTTTTTAGTACTTTCACAGTGTTCTTCAACAGTTGATCACCACCGTATATTTTAGAACGTTTTCATCACCCCAATATCTGCAACTTCTAATTGAACTTATTTTAAAATTTAAGGCCATTGCAGGGAAAAGATGGAACAAGTTAGCAATTTAGAGGATTAATCAGAAAGCTCTGAAACCTTTTTTCCCTTTAAGCATATTCTAACATTTTATTTTATTTTATATTAAATTTATTTTTGGCTGAGTCGGGTCTTTGTTGCTGCGCGCAGCCTTTCTCTAGTTGTGGCGAGCGGGGGCTACTCTTCGTTGCAGTGCGTGGGCTTCTCACTGCGGTGGCTTCTCTTGTTGCGGAGCACGGGCTCTAGGCATGTGAGCTTCAGTAGCTGTGGCTCGTGGGCTCTAGAGCACAGGGTCAGTAGTTGTGGTGCATGGGCTTAGTTGCTCTGCGGCATGCGGGATCTTCCCGGACCAGGGCTCAAACCCATGTCCCCTGCATTGGCAGGCGGATTCTTAACCACTGCGCCACCAGGGAAGTCCTCCTTTTTAAAAATAATGGCCATATTTCTCTTATAGGTGTGCGATCCTGTAAAAGTAAGCCTCTGAAGATGATCTGGTGTATTTTAGTTGTAGGGTTTCTACTTCCCCAGTCTTTGGCTGATCCAGGCTTTTTTACTTCAATTGGTAAGTCTTAATTATTTTTTGTTGTTTTTGCATTTAAAAATTTACATTTTTTAGTGTTTTTAAATAAGTAAAAACCAATACATTGTGTTCCCATAGACTGAAACATTACTTCAGTCCCTGCCCCTCTAAAAGTCTCTCTCATTTTTAAATTCAATTGTTTTCTTTAAATTATTTTCTCTGATTACAAAAGGAATACGTTTTCAGATTAGAAATTTATGAAAATTTAGAAAAGCATACCAAAGAAAATTCTCTGGTAATGAGTCCACCCAGCAAATCATTTAATGTATATACTTAGTCTTTTATGTTTTCCTATATACATACTTCATATGTCTTAAAAGAGAAGTTTTCTGTCATCTTGTTGACCAGTTCTACCCTCACATGATTGTGGAGCTAAATAAAACACAAACAAGTATTATAGTTATGAAACCTCATTTTGGGATGTAAAATGATGAGTTCTGTTTTCCCCTTATGAATAACGAAATATGGATATTTGAATTGCAGTTGAGAAGTATACTTTTTGTTAGTGTGGTCTTTGTTTATTGAATAAAAATTTAGTTCTAAGTAGTTTCAAAACCACAAAAAGGTGAGAGGGGAGGTAGGGAAGAAGAAACATTGATCCTTGGAAAGTAAGGTTTTGAAATTAAAAATAAATTTTTAGACGACAGACAATTTGTCAATATGGTCCAAGCTTGCAGAATTAAGTAGCTTGAAAATTTGAATTGGAACACATGATTAGAAGAGTTTCCGGCTTTATTTTTATTTATCTGGTTTTTAAAAAAGGAAAAAAAGAAAAAAAAAATGATGCTCTCTCCAACATATCTGATTCATGCCAGGTAAGTCCTCTCAGAATGAAGCATTCTCTATCATTCTTAAATTATTCGAAAATACTTGTTTTGACCAGTATGGGTATTTGATAACTTTCTTCCCTTTTTCTCCTTCTAGGTCAAATGACTGATTTGATCCGTACTGAAAAAGATCTGGTGACTTCCCTGAAAGACTATATTAAGGCAGAAGAGGACAAATTAGAACAAATAAAAAAGTAAGCAAAGTGTTTTACTTATTATGACTCTGATTCCACCTTCATGTTTTCTTGGTAGAGCTAAAACATTCTTTGAGTGAAAGTGAAAGCCCTCTGTCAGTCTTAAAAGGCCAGTTGAAATGGCTAAAGTAGGAGCACAGAAAACAGAAGTTAGGCCCAGGCTAAGACTTCAGTTGAAGAATATGGATTGAGATAAGAATATAAATGGGTATGGGTCATTGACTGACAATTTTTTTCAATGGTTGCTAATATCTTCTATCCTCTTCTAACCTCCCTAATCAAGCCACCTTCTGGAGCAGTTTTCCACTGCTATTTATCCTTCAGTCATATGGTTCCATTCTAGAGATTACAGTGATAAGTATAGTATTATTTAATTGATATAGTTTTTCCTTAAATGCTAACTTATTTATTTAAATTTATTTATTTATTTATGGCTGCGTTGGGTCTTTGTTGCTGTGTGCGGGCTTTCTCTTGTTGTGGTGAGTGGGAACTACTGTTTGTTGCGTGTGTGGGCTTCTCATTGCAGTGGCTTCTCTTGTTGCAGAGCACAGGCTATAGGCGTGCGGGCTTCAGTAGCTGTGGCACCTGGGCTCAGTAGTTGTGGCTTGCAGGCTCTAGAGTGCAGGCTCAGTAGTTTTGGTGCATGGGCTTAGTTGCTCCACGGCATGTGGAAATCTTCCCAGACCAGGGCTCGAACCCATGTACCCTGCATTGACAGGCGGATTCTTAACCACTGCGCCACCAGGAAAGTCCCCTAATTTATTTTTAATTGACTCAGGTTCATATTTAATTCTGACCTGAGAGTTCCTAGCCTTTGTTTAATGAGTAGCTAAGTATTCAGTTTTTTTGTTTTAAAATACAGTTTCCAGATACTGACTATAAAATTTTGCTGTAAGTTTGATTTAAATGAACATGTAACTGAAATTGGATTGGGCTGATTACTTTGTAATAATCAATTATTTGGCTTTAAGGACCTGTAGGGAAATGAATTTTTAGGTTCATACTAGAGGGTAAGCCTAAAAAATCACAAATTTTACTAAGATAGGTTACGTTTACTGTAACCATTTGGGAGAAACAAAACTAAAACAAAAAGTCTTGTAGTTATATTTTGATTTTGCCAAGTTAGATTTTATCTGTAAGAGAATCTTGCTTTTTAAAAATCCTTTGTAATTTTACTTTTAAAAGGATTTTAAGTATAGTTTTAACTCAAAATCCTCTAATCTTTTTTGAGTGCTTTACTAGTCTTCTTCCTCATTGAGTGTGTATATACTTTATGTAGATTCCACTTATGTCTTACATTTTTAGATGGGCAGAGAAGTTAGATCAGCTAACCAGCACAGCAACAAAAGATCCAGAAGGATTTGTTGGACACCCTGTAAATGCATTTAAGTTAATGAAACGTCTGAACACTGAGTGGAGTGAGTTGGAGAATCTGGTCCTTAAGGATATGTCGGATGGTAAGTCAGATGGTAAGACTAATGAGCCAAAAAAAAAGTAAGGCTTTTTTGCTACCACCTGTAGACATGCCAGAAGAAGTGATAAATTCAGTCCCCAGAACATCAGGTGTTCAGCCTTGTAACTGAATTATTGCTGAGATGTATTTGATTTGACTAGAGTTAATTTAGTCTACATCCTGAATTCTTGATTTAAAAAAAAGATGAATAAAAACTGGAAGTAAAGATAGAACTTTATTGTTAAAATGTAATTTCTGCTCTTCATTTAACATGGTCCTTTTTGCTTTGAAATCTAAAAAAGTGAATCAATGATTTGGCATACAGCTTCATTTCTGAGGGTAATTGTTTTCATTTTACGATTACCTTCAGATTTAAAAAATTTTATGGGTAAGTCTTTATCTTCTAATCAATTTTTAATGTACTGGGAGTGATACTAATAAGGAAGAATGTTAGCTGTGTTTTACATAGTACTTTGAAGCTTAGGATTGTTTTGTTTAACATAGACAATAAATTTAAAAATTGAGGCTGCAAACAGTAATAATGAATGTCTTTCTGATTGAAACAATAAAATTGTAGTTGGAGTATTGAGATCTTTTAGATATTTTAGTAACAGACACGGAAAACTAAGGCTGGAGTTTAATGAAGTAGAGGTATTATGCTTTAGTACATAGTGTTTATTTGTTGAATGATTGAAGGTGGCAAAAAAAAGAGAGACAGAGAACTGAGCCAACTGTGTAGATAAAGCACTCCAAGGGTGCTTTCAAGTATTTGTGAGCAGTAAACTAAACTATTACGCATAGGACAGGAAACCTTGAAAAGAAAAATTAAGGCAAGCACTTGTGAATACTTCTTTGAGAAGAGAAGGAAATAGTACCTGTGATTATTTGTTGTCATATAACACCATGAGAACTTTTTTTTTTTTTTTTTGCGGTACGCGGGCGTCTCACCGCTGTGGCCTCTCCCGTTGCGGAGCACAAGCTCTGGACGCGCAGGCCCAGCGGCCATGGCTCACGGGCCCAGCCACTCCGCGGCATGTGGGATCTTCCCAGACTGGGGCACGAACTCGTGTCCCCTGCATCGGCAGGCGGACTCTCAACCACTGCGCCACCAGGGAAGCCCCATGAGAACATTTTTAAGGTCATACATGTATGCGTTTGTATACATATATACATATGCACACACATTTATTTATTATTTTTTTTTTAAAAATCTAAAAAAAAAATCTCAAGTATGAACTAAGTTTTTTTATAAAGTAAACCTTAAGACTTAGGCGTTTTAATCTGCGGCAGTCATCCCATAATGCTATAGTAGATATACGTTTTTTCTTTTTATTAGAGAGGATTTAAGTAACTTCATATTGGTTTGGGGCATAAAATCGTTCCAGTCTTCTGTAAAACTTGCTTGTAAAATTCCATGTGGATATTGTGACTAGGAGTTGGTCTTAAAACTAATGCTTTAATATGGACTTAGGCCTCTTCCATCTAGTTGTTCATCTGTACATTTCAATTAACATAAAAATGCCTGGCCTTTTGATTATCAAAGTATGCATAGTTGATTATAAGTAAAGGAGAATGGAGGGAAGTCTCGTACCTAATTTTGATTTGCAAATGATGACACATGTTATTAAAATTTTAAATCACTTTTTGTTTTTGTTGTATTGATTTCTTAAGGAGTATTTAGCATCTCTTCTCCTTAGGAGTTATATAGTTACCAATAATTAGTTTCTTAGTTTTATTTTTGCTGTATTTTATGTAAAACCTTTTAAAATTAATATTAGGATTTATAGAGTGCAAACCATGATGATGAACACTATATTTAATAATTAAGCAGATCTAAATATATTTTAATAAACTAGCTTACCTGATACTCTTACATATATAATAAATGTCTCTTCCTTCTCCTTAAAGAATTCCACCAAACTTTATATATTTACACATTTATGTGATATGTGGCACATGGAAGAAGAAAACATAACTTTAAGAGTATACATTTTACTTACTGTTATCTGAAAGTATAATTGGTTGCCAGTGAACATCGTTTTCAAATCTTTAAATGTTCACTTTTCAAGCTTAGTGGAGGCTGTGTTGTATAATTAAAAACTCTATTATGTTAGTTGATCTTTACCTATTAATACAAATATAATTTCTGCAATGACCTCAGATTACTTAAGCAACATTAAAAATGGTTTGGGAAGATGAACAACTTAGAGGTATGTCAAGTCTTGTTCAGTATATTTAATTTTTTCTTGTTACACATGGTATGGTGGAAAATTATAATGAAATAGATTTTGAAAAATCCTTTTAAGACTGTATTGGAAAATGGAAGTCTGTGAGGTTCTAAAGTCTTTTTTCTTCCAATTTTATTGAGATATAATTGACATACAGTACCATATAAAGTGTACAGCACAATGATTTCACTTACGCACATCATGGAATGATTATCACAGTAAATTTAGTGATCATCCATCACCTCATATAGATACAAAATTTAAAAAATAGAAAAAAATGCTTTTCCTTGTGATGAGAACTCTTAAGATGTACTCTCTTAACAACTTTCATATATAACATACAGCAGTGTTAATTATTTTTATTGTGTTGTACATTACATCCCTAGTACTTACTTATATTATAACTGGAACTTTATACCTTTTGACAGCCTTCCTCCAGTTACCCTGCACACCCACCTCCTGCCTCTGATAACCATATATCTGATATCTTTTTGTATGAGTTTGTTTTTGAAATATAATTGACCTGCAACACTGTGTTCCTGTTATACAAAATATTGATCCTGTATTTCTATATATTTCAAAATGATCACCGTGATAAGTCTAGTTCTGATATGTCATCACCATACAAAGATATTACATAGTTATTGACTATATTTCCCACACTGTACATTTCATACCCGTGTCTAGACTCTTTTTTTTTCCCCCCTATTTTAAGGTTTTATCTCTAACCTAACCATTCAGAGACAGTACTTCCCTAATGATGAAGATCAGGTTGGGGCAGCCAAAGCTCTGTTGCGTCTCCAGGATACCTACAATTTGGATACAGATACCATCTCAAAGGGTGATCTTCCAGGTAAGAGTTATTGTAGTCTATAAAAATCCTATCACTTGGCTTCTCCGTTCAGTCCATTAGGACAATGTTAATATAAAAAGACTTCCGTATTTTAAGATTTTTAACTTCACTTTGTTTCACAGCCTTTGAGGACAAAACAACCCTTTGTCTAGGACTGAATAGTTGTGGATAAGCTGCTAGCTTGTTACTGTGAAAGCTTATAATTATAGGGACTAACTTAAGTAGGCAATTTTAGCATGTAAGAAAAAGAAACAACCAGTTTTCCAAATGTCTGTCTTTAGAATACCCAGTAGTTGTGTGTTAAGTTATAAGGTAATTGATAATCAAAGTTTATATATTCAATAATTTAAAACCAAGACATGTTGAGTATGTACTGATTTTTAGTGTTCTACAGTGTGAAGCATCCTGCTTTTTGACCTATTTTCGGCAAAACCCTCTTTTTTTAAGTTACAGCTGATTTCATGGTAATTTGCTTAAATTTATTGTGAAAAAAACATTAAAAAAATTTACCATCTTAACCAATTTTAAATGTGCAGTTTATGGTATTAAGTACATTTGCATTATTATGCAACCATCATTACCATCCATCTGCATAGCTCTTTTCATCTTGTGAAACTGAAGCGCTATACTTGTTAAACAATAACTCCCCAGTTCCCACTTACTCAGCCCCTGGCAACCATCATTCTACTTTCTGTCTCTATGACTTTGACTTAAGTACCTCATATAAGTAGAATCATACAGCGTTTGTGTTTTTGTGACTGGCTTATTTCACTTAGTATAATGTCCTCAAGGGCTGTAGTATACGTCAGAACTTCCTTCATTTTTAAGGCTGAATAATAATCCATTGTGTATATACCATATTTTGCTTATCCATTCATCTGTTGATGGACACTTGGGTTCCTTCCACACATCAGCTATTGTGAATAATGCTGCTGTGAACATGGGTGTGCAAATAGCTCTTCAAGACAATGTCTTTTATTCTTTGAGTATATACCCAGAAGTGGAATTGCTGTGTCATATGATAATTCTGTTTTTAATTTTTGAGGAGCCACCATACTCTTTTGCATAGTAGATATACCATTTTACATTCCCACCAACAGTGCATAAGGGTTCCAGTTTCTCCACATCCTTGCCAACACTTGTTATTTTCTTTTTTTTTTTCTGTTAGTAGCCACTCTAGTGGGTGGTATCTCATTGCAGTTTTGCATTTCCCCAATTATCAGTGATGTTGAGCATCTTTTCATGTACTTATTAGCAGCCGCCTGTACATCTTCTTTGAAGAAATATCTATTCGAGTCCTTTGTCTTTTTTTTTCTTTTTTTTTTGTGGTACGCGGGCCTCTCACTGCTGTGGCCTCTGCCGTTGCGGAGCACAGGCTCCAGACGCGCAGGCTCAGTGGCCATGGCTTACGGGCCCAGCCGCTCCGCAGCATGTGGGATCTTCCCGGACCGGGGCACGAACCCGTGTCCCCTGCATTGGCAGGTGGACTCCCAACCACTGCGCCACCAGGGAAGCCCTGTCTATTTTTTAATTGGGTTATTCATTCTTTATTGTTGAGTTTTAGAGGTTCTTTACATATTCTGGATATTAATTCCTTATGAGATGTATGATTTGCAAATATTTTCTCCTGTTCTGTGGGTTGCCTTTTTACTCCATTGATATTGTGCTTTGTATCCAAATTTTAAAATTTTTACGAAGTCCAATTTGTTTATTTTTTCTTTTTTTGCCTGTGCCTTTAGGGTCATATACAAGAAATCATTGCCCAATCCAATGTTATAAAGCTTTTGTCCTGTTTTCTTCTAAGAGTTTTATTGTTTTAGGTCTTATATTTAGGTCCTTGATTTATTTTGAGTTAATTTTTACATGTGGTATTAGGTAAGGGTTCAACTTCATTCTTTTGCATGTGGATATTCGGTTCTCCCAGCACCATTTGTTGAAAAGACCATCCTTTCCCCATTGAATGATCTTGCCATGCTTGTCAAAAATCATTTGACCATATATACAAAGGTTTACTTCTGCCTCTGTATTCCATTAGTCTGTAAGTCTGTCTTTATGCTGATAACACACTATTTGATTATTGTAGCTTTGTAGTAAGTTTTGAAATTAGGAGGTGTGAATCTTCTGGTTTTGTTCTTCTTTTTTAAGATTGTTTTGGTTATTCTGGGTCCCTTGAGATTCCGTATGAATTTTAGGATGGGTTTTTCTGTCTCTGTTTTTAGTATTTTGATAGAGATTGTGTTGAATCTGTAGATTACTTTGGGTAGCATTAACATTTTAACAATCCATGAATCATGGTCTTCCAATCCATGAACATGGGATGTGTTTTCCATTTATTTATGTTGTCTTTCAGCAGTTTTTTTGTAGTTTTTCACTGTATGTCTTTCATCTCCTCGGTTAAGTTAATTCCTAAGTATGTTATGCTTAGACTTGTTTTAGTAATTTTCTTTTAGATTGTTCATTATTGGTACATAGAAATGCAACTGATTTTTCTGTGTTGTCTTTGCATCCTGCTACTTGGCTGAATTCATTTATTCTAACAAGTCTTTTGTGGAATCCTCAGGATTTTCTAACCTAAGATAATGTTATCTGCTGGGTATTCCCTGGTGGTCCAGTGCTTAGGACTCCATGCTTTCACTGCTGAGGGTGCAGGTTCAATCCCTGGTTAGGGAACTCAGATCCCACAAGCCACGCAGTGTGGCAGAAAAACGATAACGTTATCTGTGAACAGAGATCATTTTACTTCTTCCTTTCCAGTTTGGGCACCTTTGAGCTTGTTCTTGCCTAGTTGCCCTGGCTAGAACTTCAAGTACTAAGTTGAATAGAAGTGGCGAAAGTGGGCATCCTTGTTCTTGTTCTTGATCTCAAAGGAAAAGCTTTCAGTCTTTGACCATTGAGTGGGTTTTTCAAATATATCTTTTATTATGTTAAGGTAGTTTCCTTCTATTCCTAGTTTGTTGAGTGTTTTTTATCATGAAAGAATACTGAATTTTGTCAATTATTTTTTCTGCATGAATTGAGATGATGGTATTTTTTTCCTTTATTCCGTTAATGTGGTGCATTACATTGATCGATATTCATATGTTGAAACATCCTTGCATTCCAGGAATAAGTTCTACTTGGTCATGGTGTATAATCATTTTAATATTATATGCTGCTGAATTCTGTTTGCTAGTATTTTGTTGAGGATTTTTACATCAGTGTTCATAAGTGATATTGGTCTGTAGTTTTCTTGTAGTGTCTTTTTCTGGCTTTGGTATAAAGGATAATGCCGGCCTCATAGAATGAGATAGGAAGTATTCTTTCCTCTCTTTTTGAAAAGTTTGAGAAGGATTGGTATTAGTTCTTCTTTAAATGTTTGGTAGAATTCTCTAGTGAAGCCATTAGGTCCAGGGCTTTTCTTTTGTCAGGAGACTTTCGATTACTGATTGTCTCCTTACTAGCTATAGGTCTATTCAGATTTTCTATTTTTTTCTAAGTCTTGGTAGGTTTTGTGTTTTTAGGAATCTGTCCATTTCATCTAGGTTATTCAATTTGTTGGTGTACAGTTTTTCATAGAACTCTCTTATAATCCTTTGTATTTCTGTAGAATCAATAGTAGTATCCCCACTTTTATTTCTGATTTTAGTAATTTGAATCTTTTTTTTCTTAGTCCATGTAGCTAAAGGATTGTCAATTTTGTTGACAAAATTATTTTCAAAGAACCATCTTTTGTTTTCATTAATTTTCTCTATTGTTTTTCTTTTACTTCTGCTTTAATATTTCCTTTCTTCTGCTAGCTTTCGGTTAAGTTTGTCCTTGTTTTTCTAGCTTTTAGGTTGTTGATTTGAGATCTTTATTGTTTTTTAATGTAAGCGTTATAACTATAAATTTCTCCCTTAGCTCTGCTTTCATTGTGTCCCATAAGTTTTGGTATTTTGTGTTTTCATTTTCATTTGTCTTTAAGTATTTTCTAATTTTCCCTGTGATTTCTTCTTTGATCCATTAGTTGTTAAAGAGTGTGTTGTTTAATTTCTGCAAAATTTGGAGTTTTCCAGTTTTACTTGTGTTACTAATATCTAACTTCACATGATAATTTACTTTTGCCATCTCTCACTTTTTCTGTGAGTGTGTGGCTTACCCCATTACTACCTTCTTGTCATTATCAACTGGAGAAATAAAATATATTACCTCTATCATCATACTGAAATTGATTTTCTCCTTAAGAAAATATAGTGGGATGAGTTACTTGTTAAGATGTTTTTCTTGCTCATCTTCCTAAATTTGCAGTGAAGTATCAAGTGGAAAAACTAACCATGGTATAATATTAAATAAAATTTCCTTTAAGCTGCAATGTAATTTCATCAAGTTGGACTTCCAAAAAAGTACAAATTTGCAAATTTTATTTTCTGTTTCTACTAATATGGTACATTATAACACTTCTGAAGATCACAGCTTTGTTTTGTTTGGTTTTTTAAATTAATTAATTAATTAATTTGGTTGCACCAGGTCTTAGTTGCGGTAAGCAGCTCCTTAGTTGTGGTATGTGGGCTCCTTAGTTGCAGCTCGCAGGCTCCTTAGTTGTGGCTTGCAGGCTCCTTAGTTGTGGCTCGCCAGCTCCTTAGTTGTGGCATGCAAACTCTTAGTTGAAGCATGCATGTGGGATCTAGTTCCCTGACCAGGGATTGAACCTGGGCTCCCGGCATTGGGAGCGTGGAGTCTTATCCACTGCACCACGAGGGAAGTCCTGCCTTATGTTTTTTAGTTCACCTCTGGTTTAAAACATCAATTTGTTTAATAGATATTAACTATTTAATGTTTATTTAATATCTACTTAACATAATAACCATTATGTTAAGTACTAGGGATGCGATAATGAATAACACTGCTTTTGCCCTTAGGGTACTTATATTATGATATGGTATGATGAATGCCTAGATGCAGATAACTTAGGATACTGTGGGAGCACATAGGAGAAAACTTAATTTTGGACTTGAGAAGAGAGAGGCATAAAGTAAGACTTC